CCGGATGATGCACTTAATTAACCGAAGAAACAAAGTGTGGAATGTCGGACACCTCATGCACTCAAATGTCGCAGCTTTAAGTAGCAAAGGGGAAGGGGCTATCAGATGCCGATTATGAATGACAAAATAACTTTATATAATTCATACACTACATTGTTGAGTACATAGTGCACAAGTACATAGTATATAAGACCATAGTGTATAGTGCAGCATTTGGGACATGGCATCAGTATTCTGAGACACGTGCTTAGGACTGCACAAGCGCATTTGCAGGTCTAGCCTGAAAAATAAGCTTTTTCATGCTTTTGAGGTTTTGTATTCAATGTATCTTAAGCTTTTTTTCACCACATTGCAAGCAACTGTTTGTTTTTATTTTATTTTACATGCACTAGCCCATTGTAAATTTTACATCAACACACATTTCTCACAGGAGAAGAGTTGAAATTCCCCAGCACATCATAATTGTGCAGTATAAATCTGTCTGGTCAATGGAAGTCATGCATGCGGCTCTCAGGCCTGACGTAGCTTGTTTGCTATTAGGTTTAAGTATATTATATGAAAGAGTTCTTAAATTAGAAGTGGAAATGATTTTGTTGCCACACACAATTAGAAGCACTTACGTCACATGAGACAGAGCTGTTCTCTGTCTCCAACAGCGTGGCATTCATGTACAAACAAACCCTCTGTCCAGCTGTCAGCCAAATGACCTGCACTGCCCAGCGTTTCAGTCTCTCCCTAGCAACCGTTAGTTAGTATTAGCGGCTGTTCTCAAGTCTGTAGGAGGAGAGAAGGGTTAGTCTGGGTTACTCAGGCTCAATTAAACCGCTCTTCCTGTTTTCAAGGGTACAAATTGTCCTTTTTTTGTCTAACGTGGGAATTCACATGTGTGAGCCAAAGTGTGGCTATACTGTAGGTTCCTCAACAGGGACGGTTCTAGGGTGAGTGGATATCCGGGGCTTAGCCCAGAGACATGTATGTGTCAGAATACATGGGGACTCACTTTAAATAAAATATGTTTGAGTTACATTGGCTAAGTGGCTTTACTTTTTTTAAATAAGAAGCAATTATAAATATAAAATAAATGTATTTACACGGCACCTAGAAATTTAATAAATACTGTTATGAGATTAAAGGGATAGTTCACCCAAAAATGAAAATTCTGTCATTAATTACTCACCCTCATGTCGTTCCAAACCCGTAAGACCTTCGTTCATCTTCGGAACACAAATTAAGATATTTCTGATGCATTCTGAGAGCTCTCTGACCCTCCCATAAACAGCAAGGATCCTTACACGATCAAGGCACAGAAACGTAGCAAG